TGTAGTATTACCAGTCTCTGAAAGGCACGAGTCTGTGTTCCTGAGTGGCTTTGTCTCTCATGGCTCGGTGGCTAAAGCAGTACTTAAATAATTTTACTGAACCACAGTTAAGCTATGTTTACTCTAATCGCTATTTTCATTTGATGCTACTACTACCAGAATCCAGTCAGTCTCTATACAGTACTTTCATTGAAGCCAACACTGCGTGTGTATGTTTTTCTCAAAAATAAATGTAATGTTGTTTTAAAGTGCACTTAGATTGTACTGACAAGTTATTCATGAATCTTTGGACAACCTGCTTCTTGCTTATACTAATTAGGCTTTTTGCACTTCCTTTTTTTCCTCAGGCAGCCCTTTCTTCACTTATGTTTTGAGTACTGTCAGATGCTTCATGGAACTGCTCAAGAATAGATTTCCTGTGTTGGCTTTTCAAGAGAATTAGATGATATTTGTTTGGGCTTTTTTTAGGCTACTGTGAAAGGCAGCTCTTTTAAAATCATGTTTAATGTTATTATAATTTCTTTTTTAAATAAGATACCAGATTTTTAAACAGGATTATTATTTGCTATAGTCAGTCACTCACAGACAAATCCTGCTTTTATACAGGCCATACTGACAGTGAAGCCATTTGGACAAATTTAAGGTATGTCAGGGACCTAAGTTAAACCATAGGCATACAAGGTTCTTTGGGTAAATCCAATAGCTTTTATTAGACCAGCTCAAATAGTTGAAAAAATTCTTCTTTGGAAGCTTACAAACACCCTTCATCAGGCAGAGGAAGCATCTGCAGTAGAATAGAAGCCAGAGGCCAGTATGCAAGAATGCCAGTCAGTGAAAATGCAAATTGAGGCAGTCAGTGGGTGAGAAAAAGGTAGGGGGACAAAGGGGGATGTAGACCTGGTTATCAGACTATAGCTGGTGAATAATAGAGGGTTTACTTGGGCTATCAGATGTTAGGCAGGTTATCATGTGTCTTAAATCCAATGTCTGTATTGAGTCTATGATTCTTTGTGTCCAGTAGGTTAATGAAGTGAAGTTCATAGGCTCATCTGTGAAAGGTGTTTTGTAAATTCCCTTTGAGGTTAGAACTAAGAGATTGGAGAGAGAGTGATTGTCTTGTGAGAAATGTGCCCTGACAGGTGATTGGGTATTCTTGTCTTTGATAGATTTTCAGTGTGTGTTCATTCTGGTTATGCAGAATAAATGGTATTAGCTAAACCATAGCATCTGATGAAGTAGGCAGTTGTCTACAAAAGCAATCACCTCTCTGAATAAGGTAGTTTCTAAGGTATCACCCTGACCTGCCTTCTGCTATATTAAATCAATAGCACAGTAACATGTTAGGTCACTGCACTACAAATGGAGGTCCTGATGATTTATAAGATCTGACACCAAGTGTCTGACCTTTAATGAGCCTTAAAGGCAAAAGTGTGCTGCTCCAGAATCCTGGGATATTCCTGTGTCACATACAAGGAGATGGTGTCTTTCTGGTTAGGCTTTTACACTAAAATGTAGTGTGAAAGTATCTCTCTGTATTGCTGCCAATAATATTTTGAAGATCAAGAAGGCTCTAATTATGTGGCAGTAAAATCAATTTATGAGTGATTAATAGTTATAAAACTATATACTGTGATATATAGGTAATGTTACTAAGGAGAACTGTTAATGTACAGCTTTGGTGTCTGGAAAAATGTTTTCTCTTAATAGTTTTCTTCATTTAACAGTTATTCATTTTCAGAATGTTCCCCTCTGACTGTATATATTGTGGTTTGGTGCAGTGCAGAGGAAATTTATTCCTTTGTCACGTTTATGCTTTTAATAGTTATTAATTTGAAAGGGTTTTGCTGTATGGATGTATATTTTAGTTTGGTGCAAAGGAAATTCATCCTTTTGACAGGTTTATTCTTTTAACATTTATTCATTTAAGTAGGGCTTCAGATTGTAAGGCTATTAACAAGAATTCCCTGGAAAGAAGGCATTGCTAGTTAAGCAACAAATAAGGCCATCAACTTGAATATATCAAAGGAGTGCAAGGCTCTGAATCAGTAATGGGGCATCAAAGTAAACTACTTGTATACCAAACAAGCCTCAGAGAGGCAATTCTGAAGAAGATTTGAAGTTGGATCTTAAATCTAATTAAGAACAAGCTTGATTTAGAAATGATGGTGTGATTATTAAATATTAAGTATCTGCCAACTGACTATCAAAAAGTTTATTTATGTCTTACCACCACAGAGCTTGAATCCTATTACTGCGTACTGTGATATTTGTCTGTCTTGGGGCAAACATTTCCTCTCCAATGGCTTTGTATTTTTACACAGGTTCTTTAAAATAGAATTTTCAGAAACAGAAGTGGGTATGTACTGAACATTTTAAGATACTTAGTGCAGGTGAAAAACAAGGGTTAGAGAAAAGAATGTGCCCTCTTTGCTTATCATTCTCATGACACTACGCACATTGATTAGATGGTAACATATCAGAAATATTATAAACTATATGATCTCACTGCCAAGTACTAGAAAATGAGAGACCACTAGGACACTTATAAGGATACTAGGAAGATTTTCTGATGGTTGTTGAAGAGCATAAGAACAAAATACCTAGGAAAATTAAAAACAAACAAATAGTAAGCAGTTTTAAATTTATTTAAATAGTTCTTAATGAAACCTTCCACCTCTGTTTCACCTGAGTAATGCAACTGCAACCATGACTTGTTCATCTGATCATATGTAGGTCAAGGGATACTAGCAAATAATACCTGTATCAACCTTCACTAAGTAAGCAATAGGCAGCTTGTACCCCAGGTGAACATATCACAAACGGCAAGAAATATTTCAAACTCGGAAATTTCTGCAGAGAGCCAGCTTGATCTTAAAAAATGTTACTGTATTTTCTTGTATATAAGATGACCCTACGATATTAGATTCTATATATGGAAAATTTATAAATGTGTTATCATTTTCCAGGTGGAGGATCTAAGTATTGGAAGGTTGTCGTGAATCCTTCTCCCCACTACTACAGCAGGAAAAGCAGTGGCTGGAGAGGGGGCGGTTAGGTGGCCGCCTTACCTGCCCCACCCACTTCTACGCCCTGCAGCTTTCCTGCCCCCAACCTTCACCCTTCACTCCCAGCTCCCCACAGCCTCTGTCCCCCGCTCACTCCCTACCTCTTCCCCACAAACTCTCCCCAATCTCTGCCTCTTACCTTCTCTTCCCCCTACTATCAGAAACTGCTCAGGCAGCTTCATCCTAACGTACGGCACATGGAAGCTCAGCCCTTGCCTGGCCATGCAGCAGTGTGGGTGCTGCTGATTGGCCAAGCAGGCAATGTTGCAGTGTCAGTGCTGCTGATTGGCTGGGCAGGGAAAGGAGTTTCCATGCTCTCTATGTCCGGGAGAGACCCCAGCCTAGGCTAGAGCCAAGCTGTGCCTTACAGGAATGGGGAGGGAAGAGAGGGGGAGGGGATGAGAGGCTGCAGAGGTGAAGTGGGGGCAGGGCAGGAGGCTGCTGTGGTTCTAACTCTGGTCCTGACCTGGGCTTCGTCCCAGAGTCAGAGCTGAAGCAGCTGCCTGCTCCCTGCTCTGCTTCATATGTGCATGTAAAATGAGGCGCTTTCCCCCCATTCTGATTGGGGAACAAAACCTCATCTTATGTCTGAGTAAATATGGTATGTACGTACTGACTTTAAAATGTAGATATACAAATATCCTGGTTCTCCTCATCACTGTTAGAAGTAAGTCTGGTGAAGTCAGTAGTTTCATCAGTGATTGGTGAGATAAGAATTAGTGCCACTGTTTCATTTTCATTGTAAACCTACTAAAGATTTCAAAAGACCTTACAAATTGATTGTGAAGTCTTGTGTGAGCTTCGAGTATCTAGAAACAACCATACTTTTATTGAACTTAAGCCTGTAATGATCAACATGGGAAATGGAGGAAATTGTGTGCGTTTATTTAAATGTGTTTTTCCCTTTGTAGTTCAAAAGCACAGTGCTACTCAATAAATAAGCTAAATAGCATGCAATAAGGTCTTAACAGTTAATGCCTCACAATACATTTCTACCAATGATTTATGTATTGGTGTGAGGAAGAAAAGAGAAAGTTTATATCCTAGAATCCTTTTCATCAAAGAAGGAGTGAAAGCATAAGCTAAACATAGTACATAAATTCAAACCATGTTAGTCATTTTAGGAGTTTCATTGGGTGTGGAAAAAAAGGAAAAGAAATTGTATGAATTCAATGACAACAAAAATTTCTAGATCTTTATAGAATACCGTAACCAGGCTCATACCATGGATAACTAATATTTTGGGGTCATTTTTTGCATTTTATATATGGTTTGTTAATTATATATATAGAGAGAGAGAGAAAGAGAGAGAGAGAGAGTAAATCAAGGAAATGCATCAGCCCAGCCTTTCAAAAGGCATTAGTAATTTTGGATGCTTCTACCTGTGGGTGCCCAATTCGAGCTGGCAGGGGGGATTTTTAAATGGTTGCATTCAGAACCTTCTGAAAATCAGATCCCTTTAGGTTGTCTCCAGTTGGACTCCTAAATTAAAGGACCCCAAACCACTAGTCACTTAAGAAATTGGAGGCAAATATAATTATTCTTAGCAAGATTTTATTTGAACCCTGAAATGTCTCACAGTTCTTGAGATTTATTTTGCTATTGCCTTTTAAAAATATATATCAGATATTTATAGGATACTATGTATAACTCTCAAATCAATTGTAATTGGAAATTTGGGAGAACCTGAATAAAATGGTATTTTTAAAATAAATTGTTTGCACTAGAATTCTTTATTTATTCTCAACACAGTGTGAACCCACTAGCTTGATTGGAGTCTTCTCTAAAATGCAATCAGAAAATTCAAGCCCCGTTTCTTTACTACAATGTGTTGCCTTTGTTATTTTTGTACTGATTTGAATCTACTGTCTCCTGGAGTAGGTAATTGCTTCAGTGCCTGGGACGTTCTAATATTTTTTTCCTTTTTGTTTATAGTTCCAAAGACATCTCCAGCTAATGTAAGTGGCAGAAGTGGAAGACGGCATGAATTAGTAATAGCTTGGGAGGTAAGGGACTCTTTCTGATTAAAGGTCCTGTTTCATGTTGACTTCTGTGAGGGCAGAGTAAGGAAATACTGTACTGAGGGTCCCCTACAGGAAATCTCATCAAGATATGAACACAAAATAGCATTACTTAAATGTGTGTGTAAATGTCTCCAAGGGATTTACATTTCCAGGTGATGCAAGTAGAGGATATTTTAGATAATCTACCATTCATATCAGTGGCTCCAACGTTTATTCACTTTTGCTTTGCTTTTCACTCCATCTGTTAAAGTTTATCTTGCTTCTTTGGCTCTAGTGTTAGAGCTACATATGATTCAATAGTAACTAAAGCTAGGCTAGATATGTCTTTCTCATCTATGAGAAAAGTTTTATTACATTTTGGGACAAATTCAAGCTTTTGAAATTGCAATGAAAAAGCAAACAGAGGGACCCTGAACATTATGGTGAATAGGGTACTTGCTGGGGTTGTAGAAAATCCATGCTCATGTCATTGCCCTAATGAATATTACTTATTCTTTATGAAGTAGAAAAACTCCAGTGAGAGAGAGGAAGAAAACAGTGTTCCTGGAATAGCTTGGTGGTTTTGCCACTCACCTATAATGTGGGAGACCTAAGTTGGCCTGAAGCAAGTACTTGTTTTTTCTCTCATGTTCTGACTATAAATTTAATCCTGGAGCAGAGAGCCTTCTGAAAAAAAGTCTTGTCAAAAGTGATCTATACTTCACAAGAAGTCTCTATCAATGAATCAACATTGGCTACAGAAAAAAATGTTATAAAATTCCCAACCAGCTTCAGTACTATTCATCTGGTAAAGAACAAAATATGGACACATGAACTCTAGGTCTGGTGGGAAAGCCTAGAGAGAGCCATGGATGTAGCCATGTAAATCAACACACCTTCATGTACTTGAGTGCACTGAAGTTGCACTGGTCTGCACCAGCAGAGGATTGGTACATTAGGTTATCTTCTCATCTCCCATAACACAATCTGTATTGATCTGCCCCAAACAGAAGCCATACCAAATAGTGCAAACCAAAAGAAAGACCATTTTTACCAATCTGAGGAAATGCAGTCTCCAAATTAGGCACAGGACTTCCTTCCTTCCTCCCTCCCTGTTTTTAATTAACTTGTTGCTTCTATCAACACTTAATTAAATTCTTCCTTTTGTTTCATCCTTGCAAGACTTCATGCTGTGCCTCACAGACTTCTTATATCATTAGCCAAATAAAATAACAAAAGTTGTGAGGTATTTTATGTGTTCTAATTATACATAGCAAAGTGGGCACATTTCAGATATTTTATTTGTTAGAAAGATTTCTACCATTCTTTGTCTCTCCAGTAAGGATATTGCACAATAAAAGATAAGTCATTTTACAAGATAATACAAAATATATCATTAAAATTCAAAGAGTTGAAAAAGTTGCTACAGGCCAGAACATGGCACTTTGAATAGTGCTTCACTCTGAAAGCAATCTCATCCAATTCTGCATAAACTACTAAGTCACTATGAAATGTAAGCATGTTGGGGACAGTCTAAGCTGGTATAAATCATCATAGCTTCAATTAAGTCAGTCTGCCCTGTGAAAAACAGAAAAAGACTACCCTGACCAAGCAAATTCTTACTTTGAGAAACTAACCCAGTGGAGCTCAACCTTTCAGAGTGCAGGCCTGTGGGCTTGCCATCCAGTTGCACCATGGGCCTCTACTGCTCTCTGGTGGTGTTTGGTGGAGGTGGAAGGGAAAGAAGAGTAGACAAAGGGAGGGGACCTGGCTGCAGAAGGGATCAGCAGCAAGGCACAGGGCAGGGAAAGAGGTGGGCTGAGGTGAGCTGCTTGCTATTGATAGCCTGTGCTGTGGGCCATATCCATCACTTTGTGGGGGGTGATATCTGGCTTGCTTAAGCACCAGTGGACTAGCCCAGAATATTCCCAGGTATACTGAATACAGTTCTATCTTGCCATAGTATAAGATCTTCCAAGTTAAGCAACCAGTTTATATTTGTCTGTTAAGTAATTGCCTTCTAATATAATGAAGGTTTGTGTATCTTTTAATTAAGTGAATTTTCCCTTTTAGCCAGTATCAGAAGAGTTTCAGAATGGGGAAGGATTTGGATACATTGTGGCATTCAGACCCAATGGAACACGAGGTTGGAAGGAAAAAATGGTGACATCTTCAGATGCTTCAAAGTTCATCTACAGGGATGAAAGTGTACCTCCTCTTACCCCCTTTGAGGTGAAAGTTGGTGTATATAACAACAAAGGAGATGGACCCTTCAGCCATATTGTGGTTATCTGTTCAGCCGAAGGAGGTTAGTTTGAGAGACTGAATGTTACAAATTATGCAAAAATGATACCTCCGTTATCGTTGTGCATTTTGCCAATACATTTCAAAGCACTTTACAAAAGACATATGCAGTATTATCCCTATTTTGTAGACAGGGAAATTAAGTAACCTGCCCAACATCATCCAGTAGGAAAGCTGAGAGTATTAACATACCTGGCTCAGGCCTAATATTCTGATCGTGATGTTATCATAATAAATAGCATTCACAAATTATGAAAATATCAGATTAAAGAAATAAAGACTGCCTCTTCTGTATTTCATGACAGCTATGTTATTCATTATAAGTACATTATTCAGATGGTCTCCAGGTTTCATGAAAATGTTCATGTTACACAGATTCACTACATTTATGATTATTTCTTGGAAATTTGACACCAAAAGTATTCTTTTTTTTTGCTATGTCTCATTTTACATATTCAAATGTAGTAAAGATTTATTCCCATTACAGGGTTCAGAACTATATCCAATTTTTGAACACATACCAGCAATCATATACATGGTTAATGAAAGGCTGAAAATTGTTCTGGAAAATTATTCAACAAATATTTATGGATAATGACTATGAGCATACCTGTATAAACTGACATAATCCAGCTGGTTTCTATGGAGCAACACTATTTGCACTTTTAGAACTGGATATCCACAATATTTTTGGATATCAGTTTGTTTAAAATTTGCAAACTGAAAAAGTTAAATATAATTTGCAATAAATAATCTGATCAATTCTAATATTAAAGGGCAAATTCTGCAACCCTATACATGCTGTGTGGTACTTTGTAGGTAGTCTCACTTTCCTCAGTGGAGCTATCTAAAGAGTAAGGTATTAATGAAGATGACCAAATTTCATGTTAAGTGGAAAAAAGTTTATTCCTTTTTCATATTATTGCTCAAAGAATAACATTTTTGTTAAATGACTTATTACTACCTATCCCTTTCAATTATAGGTATTATTGTGATACCTTCATCCTAAAGGTTAGAGAAGTTCTTTTTTGTTAAGTTCCAGTAATCTGTGTGCATTTTATTGTTTGGTTTAACATTATTTCACATCACTATAAAAAATGAGTATATCTCAAAATGATAGAAAATTGAAGTGACATCTGACTTTCCAATCTATCTGACCTGGACATTTTGTCATCTATGGTTGGCTTTATTGTTCATTAAAAAGCAGTGAAATAATGCAATTTATGTTGGTTCTTTTATTATTTGAACTGCAGTACCCACTGATAATAAGTCCAGAAAAAAAAGAGTTTTGTAAAAGTGGAGAGATTTTTCCCTTTGCATAATCTGAAGAAATATATAATATCTGTTGTTTCTCCATTTTGGATGCCAAATAATGACATTGAATTTTAATAAATAATCTTATATATGTTGATATTTAGAGAAAACTGAGAATCTACAAGAATATAACAATCTGTTCTTCTAAATTTTTCTTTAAAATACAAGATGCAAGTGATCAGTTTAGGTTTAGTAATTTAAGCTTTCTTTTGTTGTATTTTATGCAAAATAGAGGAATAACTTTTAGGGACCCCATTTTCTGTCACAGTTCAGTCATTCAGAAGTACCTTCCTATTATAACTTTATTAATTCAATCTCTGTGTCTGTCTGTACCTTAGATTCCTCTCTGTTAAGATAAATTCCATCAGGTGAAATACTTTTCTTAGATTTGCATTTGGGAAGAAATGTGTTTAGCTGTGACAATACAGTAAAAAAAATCATTTATAAACATATTTTTATGTAAGTAACCTAAGGTGCTGTAAGTGAAAATTTAAAGGGACAATGAAATAATTTATTACAGCTAAAACTTAGTACCAAGGACAAAAAATATGATTTCAACTTTCTGTGGAAAAAAGGGGGGGAATTGGCTTTAAAAGAGTGAGGAACTAAAAGCACATTTCTCATGGATTTCCATTTGAAAGAATATTGAACAGAGATCAACAGTACATTATTCTATAACCCTGAGGCTGATCCTGCAAACCGTTATCCTAACCAATGCATCTGCAGTGGGCTCACTGACTATTCATCATGGATTCAGTGCACTCTTGTCAAAGGTCTAGCATAAAGGCCTAGGGTAAAATGGTCAAAAGTGACTTAAGAACTTAAAAGCCTGTGTCTCAGTGAAAGTTGATGGGACTTGGGATCTTGAGGGGTAGATTTAATGCCTAGAGATGGAGATAAACATCCAGTTAGATTTACAAATAGGCCCAGTTGAGTGAGATCCCTGACATCCATTGATTCAGCAAAGCAACTAGAAAGATCAGCAAAGGGGATGGGAGGGGAAGAAGGCGGGGAGTGGGGGGTGAGGAGCAAGGGAACTTACATGGGACTTTTTCTTGATAAGAAAATAGTTTCATAGTAGTTTCATAGTTTCATAGAGTGAATGAGTTTCAAAAGAGTGAATCAAAAGTTTCAAAAGAGTGAATCTTTGTGTGATGAAAGTAAGTAAATGTATTTGTCTGTTACTTCTTGGTTTGTTTGTTTTCCATGTATAATATAGAGATATGCAATCTGTTTGGGGGCTGTGTGTTGTGACTGGATGGATGCCCTGGACTTGAGTGCATAAAAAAGCTCCCTGCATTTTATCACTACAGGTGTATATATAATTGTTGAGTCTAAATGAAGGACAGGGCTGACATAGGAATAAAGCCTAAAGTACTCAGCAACCAGGGGATTCCAGTAACCATGGAAAATGAAGGTTTTGGCATGGGAGTTTTTAGAGGGAAAATTGGGAAGGGCTTTTTTTTTTTCTTTAAGGCTTGATAATGATGATTGCTGAGCAGAAATAGAAGTCACCAAAAGAAGAGAGGAAAGTTATTAGTGAAAAATATTTCTACATGAAATATGACATTTTAGAGCTCATGCAAGAAAAGATCTGCACTAGAGATCCATATGAAAGCAATATAAGAATTCAGAATGGGATGCAGTAATTTGATAAAGAGAGAAAAATGCACCATTGATGAACAAGTGGAATTGAAGGCTAGACTAGGAGAGTGACCAATGGAAGACTGTGACCATAAGAGCAAGGTAGAGGAAAAGATTAGTTAGTGAGCAAAAACAGATTTGGGGAGTGGGCATGCAGCTGGAGATGAGGAGGAACTAACTTTTAGGGACCCCATTTTCTATGGGGTCACAGTTTCTATGTCACAGTTCAGTTATTCAGTTATTCAATCTCTGTGTCTGTCTGTACCTTAGATTGCTCTCTACTAAGATGAATTCCATCAGATGAAATACTTCTCTTAGATTTGCTTTTGAGAAGAAATGTGGTTAGTTGTGACAATACAGTAAATGGATAAGG